AAAGGCCGAAGGAGGCCTCTTGGGTGCATTGGGATCCTTGAACTTCTTTTTTGTTTCCCCTTTAGGGGGGATATAAGTTTTCATTTCTCTTTCATAACGGGCCTTGTCCGCCTTTGCCATGTCTTCAAACTTTCCTTTCTCTTTAGCAGACATGGTCTTCCACCTCTCTGAGCACTTCTTAGAAAACTCTGAGAAGTTGACTGAAGCATCTGGGTGCTTCTTCTTGTGCTCCTCTCGGCAAGTTTGCACAAAGAATGCATATGATGACATTTTGCCTCTCGGCTTCTTAGGATCTCCTTTGCCCATGTTTAATTATTTTCCTCAGCGAGGCACAGAGTCGCCCAGTGCCCGTCTGGCTCTCACTTGCCCCGGCGCTGTCTCCATGGAGCTCAATGTACTGCAATGGCTGTGAGCCCTATTGTTAAATTTAACATTCTCCCTTTTTTATAGTTTTTGGATGGCTTGAAATAAAAAGGGTCGTACCACTGTTCCTAGGTAAATGTCATAACGCTGCTGCGCAAACATCATAAATCAGCATATTAGATTAGGAATGGTTTTCCCAATATATGAAGCATGAGCTGGAGTAGCAATCCTTCACTAAATATTTATTGTGTACGTAATGTGCTAAGTATTATCCTTGGTCATCAACTCCCCATAGTGCTGGAACCACTGTCATGATAACTTTGACCTGATTACATCAGTGTCTAGTTGGTGCAGAAACACTACCAGAAAGTCATGAAAACCCTGCTACTAAATGCAAGTGAGTGTCTGTGTCAGATCCTAGAACCAAAAAAGGCAATAGTGGGAAAACTTATGAAATCAGAATGAAGTCTGCAGTTGAGTTAATGGTATTGTACCAATGTTAATTTCCTAGTTTTGACAAATGTGTTATGGTTATGTAAGACATTAACATTAAAGGAAACCGGGAGAAGGATATACAGGAACTCTCTGTACCTTGCAATTCTTTTGTAAATCTGAAATTATTGCAGAGGCGCTGGGTGGCTCAGTCAATTAGGCATCCAACTGTTTATTTTGGCTCAGGTCATGATCTCATGGTTCGTGATATTGAGCCCTACGTCAGGCTCAGCCAAAAGAGAGTCCTAAATATGGCTCTGCAAGAAGGTCAAGTGAAGCAATGCAAGGGTCGGTCACTGCTGACTTGGAAGATGGCAAGAGACTGGGATGTGCCCAGTGGCCCCTAGAAGCTGGAGAAGATGAGGAAACACATTCTCCCCTAGAGCCTCCAGAAGGGAACACAGGCTTGCCCATACCTTGACTTTAGCTTAGTGAGAATTGTGTCAGACTTCTGACCTACAGAACTAGAAGATAATAATTCTGTGTTGTCTGAAGCCACTAAATTTGTGGTGACTTATTATAGCAACAACAGAAAATGAATACATTCCAAAATATAAAGTTTAAGAAAGAAAACTTTCCCAATGGCTGCCTGTTTTCCCGACACATTTTCAGTCTGAGACTGTACAAATATTCATGCTACTTAGAAAGTAACTGTAGGGGTGCCTGGGTGGCTCAGTCCATAGAGCATGCAACTCTTGATCTCGGGGTTGTGAGTTCAAGCCCCATGGTGGGTGTAGAGCTTACTTAAAAATAAAGTCTTTAAAAGAAGGCAGCGGGTACCTGGGTTGTTCAGTTGGTTGAGTGTCCTACTCTTTTTTTTTTTTATTTTTTTTTAATGTTTTATTTATTTATGAGACAGAGACAGAGCATGAACGGGGGAGGGTCAGAGAGAGGGAGACACAGAATCTGAAACAGGCTCCAGGCTCTGAGCTGTCAGCACAGAGCCCGACCCGGGGCTCGAACTCACGGACCGCGAGATCGTGACCTGAGCCGAAGTCGGACGTTTAAACTACTGAGTCACCCAGGCGCCCCAAGTGTCCTACTCTTGATTTCGCCTCAGTTCCTGATCTCACGGTTCATGGTTTCAGGCCCTAAATCAGGGTCCATGCTGACCACCCACAAAGCCAGCTTGGGATTCTCTCTCTCTCTCTCTCTCTCCCTCTCTCTCTCTACCTCTCTCTCTCTCTCTGCCTCTCCCCTGCTCTGTGCTCTCTCTCTCTCTCTCTCTCTCTCAAAATAAATAAGCAGAATACTGTAGACTGGAGGACTTAAACAATAGACAATTACTTCTCACAGTTCTGAAGGTGGGAAGTCCAAGATCAGAACCAGCGTCTGGTGACAGCCTTCGTCCTGGTTTGCAGACAGCATCTTCTCATCATATCCTCACATGGTGGAGAAAGAGTGCCAGTTTCTTTCTTTCTTTCTTTCTTTCTTTCTTTCTTTCTTTCTTTCTTT